TGATCTTAAAAACAACACCCCCAAGCAGCACTCCCATGTTGGGCCAATATTGGGACAATAACTACGATTTATTGGCCCAAGTCAGATTCTCTATGTTGGCCCAATAAAATATGTGGACATTTTGCAATATTTGTCCAAGAACGTATGTCAATATATACCCAAAAACAAATACCAACGTTGGTACAATAACGTAACCAAATGTTGGCCCAAAAAGAAATAATCAATATCATATCAAGAACTTTATGCAATGTAGAGCCAATTGAAGTTACCAATATGGGCCCGAAGACGTATGTAAATCTTGGCTTTATATTATATTTCATTAAGGTAACGGACCAATTATAAGGACCGACTAAGAAGTGTTTTCTCTCTGCCGGACCATCCGTGGACCCGTTTCGCTGTATCACAACTCGGTTAAGTCCCGCCACGGTCTCGCAGAGAGAAAACAACCAATTTTTGGCTTCATCCCGGAACCAGGTTTAAGACAGGTAAAGTCAAGACAGAGTCTCCATCTATTTTTTGGTCGGCACACCAACTGCGCACATTGAATACCCTATATTGGACCAACATTTTCAATTCAGAAAATCTAACCTTGGTAAAAATTAGTATGTAAATATTGGCCCTTCATTGGGCTTTTCAAAAAATATCAATATTGTGAAAAAATTGAAAATAAATATTGGGTGTACAAAGTTTTTGAAGTGAATTTAAATATCAATAAAAAATTGAATGCCAATATTGAATTAATATTATATTACAATATTGTTTCGATAATATAAAATGATATATTTGGCAAATATTTCATAAATCAATATTGTAGTGAGAAGTCTTGAGCCAATATTCAAATTACTGAAAAGTTAATTAATACATGAAAACAATATTGGTACAAGATTATTTTTAAATATTGTTTCCACATAGTTAGAACTAACGTTGTCACAATCAATTATTTATTTTTTTGCACTTTTTGTACGTACTTACGTCATCGATGACGTCATAACTTGGAAAAAAGGGTTTGTCGTTGATTAATTTATAGAGCACGTTCGGAATTATCGTTTTGTTATAAAAATTTCAACTTAGAATAGAGTTCATTTGAGTCATCCGAAAATATCTAAATTATTTAACTGTGTATTATACAGGGTGTTCCATCATGTAAAAACTAAAAGGGGTGATTCTTTGTTTTTTTCTTATGACTGATATTTCAAATAAACATAGAAATTTCAATATTTTTTCTGTTTTTTCTCTATGAACATTTCAAAGAAATTAGTTTCACCTAGCTAATTACGTAAAGAGAATTGTTTTTTATTTTTTTTTCTCGATAAGAGTCGGTGATAAGAAAAAACTACAAGAGAAAAAAAAGTTTATAAATAAGGTGGAAATAAGTATCACCCTGTAGATTCTGGTAAACCTTTGCTTTGTGTAATGTTTGCTACTATTAGGCAATCCAAACCACGTACGTGACATTCAAGATGGCGTGGCAGCCACACATGGACCAAAAAACACAAAAAAATGTCTATTTTCTGCCCGACTTAATAGTTTACCTACCTAGTGAGCAAATATTTTATTGAATAATCATAATCAAAGCTGCAAGCAGAACTCGAAGCAAAATAATTGAAATATGCATGAAAACACATATTCAAAACTAACTGGCCGCCACGCCATATTAAATTTTTCGTCTCAATCCCTCAAAACATAAAGAAAAAAACATACTGAAATTTGAACACCCTGTAGATCGGTAACGGCGCGTTTGCGGACCAAAAGTTTGTTTCACGAGGGTTTGTACTTACGTCATCTTGCCTTCTTTTTAAAAAAATTATAAATGACTGAAATAAATTGATGACGTCGTAAACATTCGTCAGTTTTCAAAACCAGAGTCGATTAAACGCGGTGGAATATTGATAACCGCGGTTATATCTTTGGTCAGCCCCATGTTTTTTTGTTTATTCCGTCCTGTTCTGTCTTGTTTTTTGTTGAATTTTTACCTGAAGTACAGTACATAATTATTATTTTTATTATTAGGTGAAGTTTAGTGTTTAGTTTTGTGTTGTTCGAAGTTCATTGTTTGGGGCTGCACAAAAAAACAACACACAAAACACAACAGAACAATAAAAAACCCGTCAAAATCCGCCATTTCGGGTATGTCTCCTTTATTTACTTTTTCAGACAAGAATAGAACATAATAATCTAGCTCCAAAGGTAGGTTAAAAATGGTTGAACCAAAAATAAAAAAAGCTGATTTAATACGACACCAAGGGTCAAATGATGACGTCACTACGAAATGATCAAAAATAACCAAAACCGCGTTTTTGTGAATGGTAATACCATTTTTGACTCGGTTATTAATATTCCATCACGTTTAATCGGCTCACAGGGCTTGTATCCTCGTAGCCGGGGAACAGGATTGCTCTGTCTTTGTCAGTATTATGGAAATAACAATATGGGCGACTAAGACAGAGATATCGTTCTTTTGAGAACGCTGTTCCCTGGTTACGAGAATACGGGCCCAGAAGCCATTCATAAAATTAGGCACTAGCTGACGCCACACATAGAGCCTCATTTTCGTTGGGGGATAAACAAAGTGTCACATGATGTAACGTCACGTTCAATGTGTGTGACGTCAGCTAATACCTTATTAATCTACGCCAAACTAAACCCTTTTTTCGAAGTTATGACGTCATCGATGACGTAAATACAAACCTTTCTGCAAGGAACTAGGTACCTATATGTTTATTTGAAACTTCAGACATAAAAAAACCTATTTGTTAAAGAAGGAAGGCAAATGATGACGTAAATACAAACCCTCGTGAAACAAAGTTTTTTTTTTACGCGCGTCATTTACTTTCCATCAGACCCCACCAAAAAAAAAGTGCTATAGCACCCCTTAAATTTGGAGCCTAGTTGCGCCTATGAGCAAAATATTTTATATTTGCTGATGACACTATCTTGGTTCTGTCAGCAAAATGTTTAAAAGAACTAGAAAAATTAGCAAATGATGAGTTGAATCTTTATCATTCATGGCTGTACTATACAATAAGCTATCTGTAAATAAAAACAAGACTGTAAATAATAATATGATTATTAAACAAAAAAAAACAAGCAAAGAGGTGATATATAATTGTTTCTTGATAGTGTCCAGGTCAATAGAGAACCACATGGGATATTTAGCAACGCCCCTGGAATCCCTGCTTTGATACTTAGGTACTGAGGCATCTAATAACCCATAAAGAATCTTATAAAATACTCCACAGCTCGTTTCAGAGTCCTGAGACTGCCATAACTCATAACTCTGACCAGTCACAGCTGATACAAAAGAGTATAATTTCCCTTAGAAAAATCATACACATATTTCTTGGGCCAATGCTGTTCAGCCTGAGCTTTCTCAAATGATATGTTTATTGAAAGAGCTGGTTGGTACGGGTCTTCTATGACAAGGGGACTGTCAGATCCACCAACACTTAAATGCACACTAGAATTAGAGATGATTAGATCCAACGTTCTAACCGTGCGTTCGTTATTTTGATCCGAGTTCTCCGAGCTTGACTTTACCGTTCGTTTATTTAAAAAGTGTACTCGGTGCAGCCTCATTCGCGTTCGTTTATTAAAATTTTTCGCACTTTTATACAGCGTTCAACTGCTCTGTTCGCTCACTGGTCACGTGATTACGGCTCCGCTCAGCACGCTCTGCTCTTTGAGCAAAATACCGAACGCAAGGTAAGTATTATTACTTAATATTTATTACTTATTATATTTATAAGTGACTATTAAGTGAGCATATTACACCTTAATCAAGAACCGTATACTAACAGGATTACAGGATTGCTCATCTTAATAAGGTGTAGGTTTGCCAATTCTCCAGTCGGCATGCCTGCGAGTGACGTCACCACTATCAGCAGCTTATCGTAGTGACGTAACCCGCATGCCTCGATGGGAAGCTTACGATTCAGGCTGTGGTTCTTTTGCGCCTAATCATCTTCACTTTTTTATAAATAAAAGTTGACTTAGAAGGGAATAATGGAAAATTATACTATTTTCGATAATTATGATGTATAATGCAATTCTGGTGAAATTGAGTGGAAAAATAATGGAAATACTTGGGGAAATACAAGTACAAATAGACAAATGAAATAAAATTTCAAATTATTGAGAAAATTGTGAAATAAAAGGTAGTTAATAGCAAATTTAATCTTAAAAAAAAAATTAGGATATGGGGAAATTTATTTTTGAAAAGGTTAATGTGTTGGTAGGTGAAACACCTCCCGTATTCAGTGGTAATACTCAGGGATGTTCCAAGGTGCACAATTGTGCATATTATGCACAATCTGATCTCAATATGCACCATATGCACAATCTTCATAACATATGCACAATTTTCACATCCAGCCAAAACAAAAAAAATTCCCCTGATTTCCCCTCAGAAAACCTTCCGCAACTTCGCTTTGCGCCTTGGTTGTGGTTACTGACATCTGTTATTTTGAATGCTAAGCTCTAGACTTGTAACTGGGAAAAGAGAGCCAAATGAGCCATATAATGGCCGCTTACTTCCATTGCCATCACTGTTGGTAAAAAGAGCTCTGTTTCAACAGGCATGAGAACCGTCCTAGAACGGTAAATTCCAGTTGATCAATTCATTTGTCAATTAGGATAAACGTTCAACTTATTGAAAAATAGGTGGGCAACTGGAAATTACTGGTTCTGGAACCTGGAACGGTTCTCATGTCTGTTGGAACAGAGCTCTTTTTATCGCGACGCGAGTCACTGTAATTTTTATTTTATTATTTTTATTTCGTCGCCATCTATAAATATCAATGCTTCGACAACTTGTAGGACGTTATACCCCTGCTTTCTGTAAAACCCAAGAGAGGCGCATAATTGCATCAGTTTTACGTCATTTTTAAGCATGTGCACAATCTCAAACGAATATGCACAATTTTTCAGTGGTTAAATGAAATGCACACTTGAAAATTTTCTTGGAACAAGCCTGGTAATACACAAACTTTGGTAATACTCACCCATCTGGAACAGTTTATTTCCAACACAAAAGCCTTGTTTTATTACTTTATGGAACATATCAATTTACATAAGATTTATATAGCTTCTATTGAACTGCCTTCATTAATGAAAATTAAATTAAATAAAGGCGTAATAAAAATTAAAAACAATAAACCACATTTACTTTACGAGGTTATGTAATGTTAACAACAAGCTTTTTTGGCGCCTTGGCAGATTCTTGACAACAAACGGAGAGGTTGCCTCGTAGCAAGTAGCAAGTGCCACAGTTTGTGTACAAAATTTAAGGAAAAAAAGAAGAATTTAAGGAAAATTCAATGTGGCGTGGCGGCCAAGCAAGTTTGTTTTGAATATGTTTTTATGCGTATTTTAAATTATTTTGCATAGAGTTTTGCTTACAAATTTGATTTTCATTATTTAATAAAATATTTGTTAAGTAGGTACCTAAACTATTAATTCGAGCAGAAACTAGATATTTTTTTGTGTTTTTTGGCCCATGTGTGGCCGCCACGCCATAATGAATGTCACGTGGTTTGAATTGCCTAATTATTTATTATGCTGTTTGCAGAAAACTCTCAAACAAATACTGGATAATTTCCACATTTTATGAATTAAAATAAGATTCAATAAAAACCAAGCGCGTACATTTTCAAAATAATTATTTTTTTTTTGTTGGTTTGAAATCTGAGTTGGCAATGCTGTATCCGTGGGCGCATGCCCAAAACAAGGCAGCTGTAGTTTAATTTCCGGTGCACGCACGCACCAGCCATTATAAAGTTGATAGTTGATTGTGATTCGTGGAAAATCGTAAATTTTGGCAAGCAAGCACAAGCAAGTTGATTCTTGAATCTTTGGTGTAGTCATCAACCTAGTCATAGTCTACAATCCCATTGAATCGCACAAGGCGAGGTAAAAAGTACAATAATGTGTTAAATGTTGAGTAGTGGATTAATCTAATTATGACTTCTTTAGAACAAACGCCTGGTAAGTAATATTTTTTGAAAAAATTTGCTTAACTGGCGATATTTATGGCCTCCTTTATTATAATTTTCTTCCATACTTCTCTAGTTTTGATTGTGTGATTTAATTAAACATTTTTGTGTCCATATTATGCCTTTATTTAAAGTTATTGCATGAGTTCTGTTCTGATGTTATTTTGTTCTTATTTGCATATTGTTTACATTTGAAATTTAAATGAGTCGCAAATTCTAACCTCACTCACGTTTCCACCATTTTTTTCCCTCATTTGAGATAAAACAAGGAAAAAAATCTACTAGGTACCATTGAGATAGGCATGATAGGTACCCATACTGCATTTTGTTTGATTGGACATGGTGGACGTGGAGATTATAGCTTTTTGTTGCATTAACAATATCAGCATTTCAATTCAAGGTCTATAGAGAGATGTCCAAAACAAGTTCCAAACTGCAGCATTTTGTTTTATTGCTATTGCTCATTATTCCATTAGTCTGTCCATCGTTTGACATTATTCAGCAAATCTAGTCTGCAGCATATTTAGGGTTGTGCCGTTTGAAATTTTCAAATGAAATTTCCATGTTTGAAATATTCAATATTCGAAAAAATTGAAATTTCACTGAAATTGCAGGTGAAATTTTCAATTTGAAATTTTCCAAACTTTGTAGAAAATTTCATATATTTCACTGGAAATTTCCCTTGTGCATATTTAACTGGAAATTTACCTCGTAATTTTCAAAAATTGACAAGTGGAAATATCCCTGGTGAGCGGGATATTTCCGGGTGCAATTTCCAATGCGACAATGCCGCGCGGCGTCCGTCGGAAACCCACCTTTAGATTGTCATTTTTGGCATTGAGACCAGCTTTTCCATTTAAAATGCATTGATGTCAGAAATCTGTCAAAGTGTATATTTTTTGACAAACGCAATTTAAATGGGAAAGATCATTAACAATCATCATCACAGAACACATCACCACAATTAAAATATTCGACACAACTTATAGTGAATAAACTTCAAACTCGGGAAATTTCCAGTAGAAATATAACTAGTGCATAAAATATTTCCGGAAATTTTTGAAAATTTTGTCTGAAGCCAAAAATTGACTAAAGACCAAATTTTTAAAAATTTCCCTTAGGAAATATTTTATGCACGTGTTATATTTTGATAGGAAATTTCCCGAGTTTGAAGTTTATTTATTATAAGTTGTGGCGAATATTTTAATTATGATGATGTGTTCTGTGATGGTGATTGTTATTGATATTTCCCATTTAAATTGTGTTTGTCAAAAAATATACACTTTGTCAGATTTCTGACATCAATGCATTTTAAATAGAAAAGCTGGTCTCAATGCCAAAAATGACAACCTAAAGGTGGGTTTCCGACAGACGCCGCGCGGCATTGTCGCATTGGAAATTGCACCCGGAAATATCCCTCTCACCAGGGATATTTCCACTTGTCAATTTTTGAAAATTACGAGGTAAATTTCCAGTTAAATATGCACAAGGGAAATTTCCTATCAAAATATAACACGTGCATAAAATATTTCCTAAAGGAAATTTATAAAAATTTCGTCTTTAGTCAATTTTTTTAAACAAAACCATTCGTGCATAGCGCGAAAGAAAAAATCCCTCACCCTTCGGGTTCGGGATTTTTTCAGGCTATGCACTCATGATTTTGTTAAAAAAATGGCTACAGACAAAATTTTCAAAAATTTCTGGAAATATTTTATGCACTAGTTATATTTCTACTGGAAATTTCATAAGTTTTATCGAAATTTTCAGAAAGTTTACATGTTTCGCCGGGACATACAATTATTGGGAATTATAGCAACGCTGCTCACTGGTTGTCTTGCTTTGGATTGTTAGAATTTTAATTCTTAGCCAATTTCTTAGCTTAGGTTGGAAGCCTAAATTTATGATAAATAAAGTTAAACCAAAAAACAATATTTGGACCTACTTCACTCAACTGACTAGGAAATAAATAACAGAAAGGTAGAATGTGTTTTTTCTACGAGCGTGCGGAAAATGGCTCTTTCCGCACTATTTGCTGTGCAGGCAGCCTTTCTTCTTTTGTGTGTTGTTTTCTTCCCAATACATTTGAAATTTACTTTCTGTACAGTCGCATTTTTTTTAAATTACATTTTTCGTAACATCACCTTAAGTACGCTTGTAGAAAAAATATACTCATACTCATACTCATACTCAATATGCTTTATTGTCCAAAAAATATAAATCTTTACTGACAAAGCGGATAATATAATATACTAATTTATATACTAATCTACATTAATAGTTATACGAATTACACAAAATCACATAAAAATCTTAAAATTCCTAAAATTAACATAAGGCCAAAGAATGACTAATTAAAATGTAATAAATAAATTGAAATAATATAAAAATATAGTTCCTGAAGCTTGCCAGAATAAATTTCCGGCACTCGGGCGCTTTGCACACTTGTGCCAGAAATGTCTCCTCCTGCACTTGTTAGGAAAATGGCTATTATTTATTTACATTCGACACTTGAGCCAGAATAAAATGTCTGAAGAATGTCCAACCATTGTACCTACTCATTTATTTTTATGTGTACCTACCTTACCACCACCGCATAAACACCCACCATACTAAACTAATACCACAGGGGGGCTTTATAGTACAGGAGGTGGCGTCAAAAACATGCAAGAGTTTTCGCAAGGCGGATATTTTCAAAATAGGTCGTACTTTAGTGCTAGAATGCTAGTGTACAGTCAGCACTCACAGTTCCGGGACAGCTGGCTCTGGGACGCGGGCAAAGTTGTAATTTTAAGAAGCATCTAAACTGTTTTCTCAAAGCTCAAAATTTATAGAAATTTTGCACATTATCTGTTTGAAGGTCACAGATAACGTATGTAAATCGTCAGACGTCTAGTTCGTTGCAAAAAGGGGGTCAGACGTCCTCAAAGTTTTTATTTTATGGCATTTTCTTCAGATATATTTGTCAAATACCTGCAAAAATATGTTTTGACAGGACACCGTAGAAAATGCCATAAAATAAAAACTTTGAGGACGTCTGACCCCCTTTTTGCAACGAACTAGACGTCTGACGATTTACATACGTTATCTGTGACCTTCAAACAGATAATGTGCAAAATTTCTATAAATTTTGAGCTTTGAGAAAACAGTTTAGATGCTTCTTAAAATTACAACTTTGCCCGCGTCCCAGAGCCAGCTGTCCCGGAACTGTGAGTGCTGACTGTACACTAGCATTCTAACACTAAAGTACGACCTATTTTGAAAATATCCGCCTTGCGAAAACTCTTGCATGTTTTTGACGCCAGCTCCCCAACTATTATTTGAAATTGATGCAACTTTGCGTACACATAAAGTGCACATAAATATGACGCAGATGATGTCAGTTGCGATTGAAGAAGTGCATGTCAAATGTCAAAGAAACAAAAATAAAAACCCAAAATGGCATTGAGTTGGTGAAAAAATGGCTGGATGCACATAAATAGTCACTAAATGTAAAAAAAAACCAATTACATTGCTTTCACAAAAACAGAAGTCAACAGACCATCATTTTCATTTATTGAGGTTGATGGCCTTGTGGATAGGATTCATTCTGTCGCAGATACTAAGTACCTCGGCATAATGATTGATCAGAACTTGAAATGGAACAAACATGTAACTTATCTCATTCAAAAGCTAAAGAATCTGGTACATAAATTTTATACATTAAGGCAGATGCTTGGGGTGAAAATACTGATTTCTCTGTATCAGGCCTTGGTTGAATCCATATTACGCTATGGAATAGTAGTATGGGGAAGTTTATATAATAACTCATTTAAGCCACTGCAGGTTTTGCAAAATAGAATATTGAAGATAATCCACAAGAGAAATATATTATATCCTACACAGCTACTATATAACAAAGTTATTATTAATATAAGAACACTATTTTTTTACATGACATGTTGTCATATTCACAGGCATAATAAGAATAGTACAGTTGTGAATCATAGTCATGGCACTAGAATAAATACAAACAAACATCTAATCATTCCTAGATGTTACAGTGAATTTTGTAAAAAATCCATTACTTTCTTGGGTTCCAAATTATACAACCTATTACCAAATAATATAAAAGCTAGAAACATAAATTATTTTTCTAAATTGTCAAAAACATACATAGTAGAGCAGTATGGTGAGTTTTTTAAGATTATGGAGAGCTAAATCAAAAGTAAGA